AAAGACTAAAGAGAAGGTAGGATAAGGTTTGAGATAGAGGTTTGAAATCTGGCTACCATGAAAAAGCAAGTAACTGAACAAAGGTCACACCAGAAACTAAAGCCCAAAACGCAAATAAACAGAGTAAACAGCTTTAACTAACCATCAAAGACAGCAAACAGTCTATTAAGGAAGCATCAAAGACAGCAAAATGACATATAATGGCACTAGAATTTGAAACAGCACATCATATACTGAGCAACAAAGCAAAGCAGAAAAAGAAATAGTAAGATTTAGAAACAGTAAGGTTTTGCCAAGGTACCAATAGAGCTGACATCTGAGATAGAAGAGAATGGGAAAAGCAGAAATAAACTTACTGAAAGTATTTTAAGTCCTGTAGTTCAGATGTCATAGGAGCATAGTTTATCTAAATGTAGCTAAATTAACAGTACTTAAAAGAAAAAGGAAAGAAGAATTCTAGCAAGCAAATACCAGTAACATTGGACTAAAAGACATTTACAAGCTCATAAATTAGTTTGATGAAATGACTAATCTTATTCTAATAAAAAGTGTTCATCCATTATTATTATCTCTTCCATAGAGATAATAAAATAATAATTATTATACATTAAAATAATTGCTGTACAATTTATACAAGTTCTATAGAAATAACTATTTCCAAGAAGTACACTGCTGGTTTACAATGTGTTACGGCGCTAGAATAGCAGGTTTTTTTCAACATAGCAGTTTAAATTCATCGTGGAGTCTATAAAATTATTGCATGCTACACCTTAGCCCCCAACATTAAAGTAACTCTTTAGAAGCCAGATCAGCACCATTCACCTGTTAGAAAACAAGTACAGAAAATTGTTTTCACAATCTCTTTGAAGTAAAAAACCTATGCTATGACTTTAAGCTACTTATAAGCCTTTTTGTTATCCTTAACAGAAGTGGCAAGATTGAGTTCAAATTGTGTCTTCATCTCTCTAATTTTCTTTCTACAAGACCTAATTACATTCCTAAACTCTTCCTGAGTAGTCATCCCTTTTTTCCATAATCGGTAGGCTCTCTTTTTTACCCTAATTTCCTTCAAAATCTCCCTGTTCAGCCAGGCTGGACATCTTCCCCGCCAGCTTGCCTTTTGGCACACTGGGACAGCCTGCTCCTGTGCATTCAAGACTGCCTCCTCAAAGCATGTCCATCCCTCCTGGACGCCTTTGTTTTCAAGCGTTGTTTCCCAGGGTACACTCAGAACTAATCTTCTGAATAGGCCAAAATCTGCCCTCTGGAAGTCCAGTGTAGAGGTTTTATTGATGGCCCTTCTTGCATCCCTGAGTATTGAAAACTCTATTATTTTATGGTCACTGCCCTAGATGGCCTCTGACCACTGCATCTCCCACCAGCCCCTCTCTGTTTGTCTAGCGGGGCCCCATCTCTGGTAGGCTCATTTACCAGCTGGAGCAGGAAATTATTCTCTATACACTCTAGGAATCTCCTAGACTGCCTCTTCTCTGCTGTGTGGAGTTCCCAGCAGACATCTGGCAGGTTAAAGTCACTCACGAGAACAAGGGCTGGCGATTTTGAGACACCTGCCAGCTGCCTGTAGAATAATTCATCGTCTTCATCATCCTGGTTGGGTGGTCTGTAACAGACTCCCACCAGGATATCAGCCTTGTTGGCCTTCCCCCTGATTCTGATCCACAGGCACTCAACCTTATTGTTACTGACTTCAAGTTCTACAGAGTCAAGAGACTCTCTAACATACAGAGCCACTCTCCCACCTCTCCTACCTTGCCTGTCCCTTCTGAAGAGCTTGTAGCCACCCATGGCAGCACTCCAGTCATACGAGTCATCTCACCATGTTTTTGTGATGGCGACTGCATCATACAAATCATATCACAATACTGATTTATGCAGTGTTCTCACAAGATATGGCTATAAACAGAAGCAGTGACCAGTACTAGAAAAGAAATTTGGTTAACATAACACAGTATGCAGACTGACTGTGTAGTCCATAAACAAAAAGTAATAACAAGGAATAATTTATCCTCCACAGCAGAGAAGAGGTAAGTAAAATAGTACCTCTAATTACCACTAAAATGAGAGTTTCCTCAAAACACCACAGCAAGAAAACTCCTCAACTTTAGCACAAAAAGCCAAATCTTACTTAACATTGTTCTGTGCAACAGTTTTCTAACAGTTGAGAACAATTTTGTTTCAGAAAGATCAAGTTAGTTCGTCAACTAAAGTGGAATCTTCTTGCCCACTTCTTAATGACTTCTGAGGGGTCTTCTCACAGTTTCTCAACAGCTTTTCAAGATCAGTAAAGTTCTCAAGGAATTATGATGGGATTCTCTATTCCATCCCAATCTCAAAATTTATTTCATCTCCAAGAGTTTATCTAAATTTTTTCTATACATATCCAATTATATATATGTATATCTTGGTCTGCTTCCATATGTCCCTTTCATAAGTTACAATCCTTTTTGTGAAACAAAGAAATGGAAGGTATAAGTGAAAGGAAACATCATTCTCTATAACCATGGACAATTGCTGTGTCTCTTCTGGGAAGGTCTTCAAGACAGCACGATAATAAAGACTCTGCCACCGTTAACTTGGAGCAGATTATTTCTGGTGACTTATGAGCTGGGAAAAGACTTCAGGATTCATTACAAATTCCCTAGAGCAGTTTTTCCCACAGTTTTTAATGTATTAAGTGTAAACACATCAATTTAATACATTTGGGGTTCTAAACATACACATTGCTGCATTCTTTCAGGAATATAACCAATTAAAAGGAATTTAATTAGTATGATAATAGAATACAACCTAGTATGAAGTAAAATTAAAAACCATCACAATTACAAAGCATAATTATATGAGGCCCTCTCTCTAAACATAAAACACTGTCTGCTGTTACTTTATGATGACACAGGGTTTAAAACATTGCATTAGCAAATTGATTCAGTCAAGCCCAAATACAATTATGTTTGGTACATATAGTGATATGTTTTTATCTGAAACACTCTGCATAATGCTGCATAGCCAAATTTAAATAATAAGCATCAGACACTACTTTTATTATTTATTGTTTTGTTTCTGTACTGTATTGTCTGCTCCAAAATGGTGGGTTGTAACTCAAAATACCCAGAACTATTATCCTGTCAATTCAGAAGAAAGCAATTTCTGCCATTCTAAAATGAAAATGCTCTCTTTTCATTCAAAGAAAAATATCTCTTTCTCTCCCTCCTTTCCTTTTTTTTTTTTGGAAAAACTAATATTGGTAGATATGCAGTCCCAATGTTTTGACTTTTATAGCCTTTCACATCTACTTAAATCATATAAAAAAACCCACAAAAAAAATCTAGTCCAAGCACTGATTAAGTCTATAGGCTCTGACTTCTGTTCAAGACTTGTGTTAAAATACTCAATCAGTTCACTTCTTTCCTTGTGAACAAGTTTCTATTTCATAAAGCCCACTGTCATACACAGTACTAACCAAGCACCTTGAAGGTGGCATTCAGTGCATTCAGCTGTTTGCAAAGCCTTTTGAACATTCTTAAATTATTATGACATTGGAAAGATTTTAATATTTTAGCCTGTCATTTTAAATATTACTCAAGCATATATTTTAAATACAAAGACATCTGTACTTTACCCTTGTTCTTTTTTCTGACTGCAGACAGACAAGGATCACTGCTTCTATGATTTTGCTTGTGTAGTAGAACTGACAACTAATGTCCCAAAAGACCACTTGAGAGACTGCAACATGTAAGTGACATTTTATCCTCAATCCTGCATCCAAATAACTGGACGAAGAGGTAGAAAGAGAATTGCCAAAGTCATAGCTCTTATGTGAACTTCCATGTACAAAGACAGGGTATGAGAATAATAATAAATATAGTAAAAGCAAAAATTATATATAAAAAGAGACTGTTTAAATCTACAGAACACTACTTTCAAACAAAAATTTCCTACAAAATATTAAAAGACCAAAAGACATCAGTGAACAGAAACACAGGCATCTAACAGGGGATAAAAGGAATTGAATCTAGATAGGATAAGAAAATTACAACTCAGTGACCCTGAGGGTCACGGGGGCATGGTTTTGACACCTCTGACACGTCTACTTTTAAACTGTTGTTTAGAAGAGCACAGTAACTTCTCATCAACAGCTTCTCTGCCCAGTTATAACTGAACAAAACCAATTATTTCAGAGAAGCTGAAAAAGATGGCACATAACTAGTTGCACCAAACTCTTATTACTCTTTAACTACCCAAACTATCACTCACAGATTGAGTGTCACTCAGAGACTGTGCTATGCTTCAGGAGTATTTGGAGAACCAATTGAGGCAGCCTTGCCTTTGCTCACTATGAAGAATTCCAAGGATTAGTCTTCAGGGTATGGGACTTGAATATTTAACATATTACAAGGTCTCACCCTTGAAGCCATTTTAGGATTTAGTGATTTCTGGGGAATAAGTGTCAATCATTATCATACTGGCACTAGGAATTCAAAAGCCACAATTTCAGAAGTGGCATCATGAATTATGTTCAACTGCCAAGTGCCTAGGTCTTGACTTCCTCTTAACTCAGAGCAATCAGTAGCTCTCCTGATAGCTTGGAACCTTTACTTACTACAGCACAGGCGAAGCATTCTCACAGGTGTAAGGCCATCACATGTGGTGATGGTAATTGATACCATTTACATGTATCTTTTTATACTTTACAACCACATTTCTTTATTATACGGATATTCCATATATATATATATATATATATATATATGTGAATAAGTTACTACACAATCACAGTTCATTTTTGCAACAACTTAACCCCCAGTAACTACCCTGTGCAAGAATAGACAATAAAATAGGCACACAACCAACTATGCAGAGTAGCTGTGGGTGGGTACCTTGCACCTCGTTCCTTATTCCATTGTAACTTGCCTATCTGCTCCAAAAGAGTAACCGTGAAGACAGAAGTCACTGGACTGAATGTTGTATGCAGGAGTACTTACCATGAGTATAGAATGGTTCCTACTACTAATGCAAGTTTGCAGTTTTCTTGCTTCTGCTTTGCAAGCCCAAAGTCAGCTATGATAAAGAAAAAAAAGGTTCACATCTCAATAGCCACCCTCTCTGCGTGACAATCAGTGCTCATTCACAACAGCTGAAAAGTTAGGAAAGGGTTGAAAGGAGGTTTGGGATTTTTTTTTATCTTTTACATTTCACAGAACTGGACCATATTATCTTTCTGTCTCCACATTCATCAGCAACTTATGTTTGAATCAGGCCTAACCGCTTTAAAAATACTTAAACACACCTCTAATGGTTTCAATCCAAACTATATGACCAGTTTCAGGTTTCTATTAATATATTTCAGTAAACTGTATGAAAATGGTGAGTATCTAATAAACAGTGATCTAATGACCAAATTAATGCTAATTATTTCACTTTCCTTGAAATTATGACAGCAGAAGGGCAGACTTTCTCAGAAATTTAATTTCAAATGAGTACAGGAGGATCTAATAACTTGATAGTTCATGTTCAAAGACTGCATTTGGTATTGAAATAATGCTGAATCTTAGCCTTACCTTGTGACAAAAGCTGTAGATTTAGATGATCATGCAGTTATGTTAATATAAGTGCCTTTTGTGTAATTATTAGGTAGTCTTTCACAAAATGTCACACAAAGTCTTTAGAGATGATATTTTTAATCAAAGTTCCATGCAAGCAGTTCAAGTTTTATTTTTTCAATTCAGTACTTTACTGCTGTCTCAACAATGCAGCTAAGATACATCATAGTAATTCATTAAGTCCAAGCACAAAAATCAAAAGAAAGCTATTGTACTTGTTAAACCCTGTTAATAAATTTTGTATGCTAATACTACTTCACAAGTGGGAAGATTTGTGTGTAAATAACATAGTTTAAAACATTTTAAGACTCCTGTTCTACTTAGGCAGAGCCCATACCATGGGCTATTCCAATTGCTTTGAGTGACATAATTCACAAAAAATTTATTTCAGAATGTTACCACTCATAAAAAGCTGCAGATCAGAAGAAATACAGGTAAGAAAAATTAATTTCTGTTGGTTCTTGCTCAGTTCAAGCCTTCAGGGTCTGAAAAAGAGTAGATCTCTAATTCAGAAAGGGCCTTTGATAAGAAACCCAAAACTAGATACTCAAGACACAGATCATTTTTCTTTGAACAAAATGTCCAAAGGACTAGCTCTGCAGTGTTTGGTAAATACAAGAAGAAAGAATACTAAATTAACAGGATCCCTGAGAAGTCTCCTTTTGCCTCTGAGTTAAGGCAGTGCTAAGGCAGTTCACTCCAGGGAATATTAATCCCAAAAGGACTAGAGGTTTTTGCAATGTTGATACTTCCTTGAATTAATTAGGGTGAATCATTCTTAATTCCCTCCTTTGGAATCCTTCAAATAATATTCTATGAAGAAAGAGTATTAAGACATTACAACAATCAATAAATTTAGTTCCTGGTGCTTGAAAGACTTAGTAAAGGAAAGATGAAAGCTGAATATTTCAGTTCTGGAAGTAGTCTATTTTAAATCAACATTAGCTATTATTTGGGGGGGGAGAAAAAAAGAAAGCAAGAAAATCAGCCAGATAGAGTAAGTATAGTCTCTTCTTTTTAGGCTCAAGTCCTCAGAAATGGAAAGAAAAAAACCTTTAATTTGCAACTACTTTTTCCAAATTCTGCTAAATTGTCTTGACACCAGCAAGAAGCTCCTATATACAACTGGTGCTGCCAGAGCTAAGGAATGTAAAGCACAGGACAATCAGCTTTACATTAAGCATAAATATTTTTCGTAGCTTTTCAAAGCCTGTAATACAGAATTGAAGGAAAAAGAACTGGTAAATGTTGAACAGCATTGAACTAGTGAAATTGCTTCTTTTAATTTATGTAAGCATCTATCTGCAGCTTATAATTTGGTCTACAAGTTTTAATACTCCATGATTATTTGGTATTTGATGCCAAAAGTTGCTACAATAACTAACAAACAAATGAAATACCTTCTGAGAACTATGAGAGGCCTGCCTTGCATATCATTAAATGAAGATATGACCATACAGGAAAATGACCCCTGTTAACTGGTGAGCATTGTTTCAGCTATGAACTGCAGCTTGATTAATGAGGACCCACTGCAATAATTCATATTTATCAATGTCCTGAAACAGGAATTGTGAGAGAAAGATAACTCAGTACTTGCTCAACTTCTTATGAACTTTACCAACATGTCACCCTTTAGCACAGAGAGGCACTTGCATAAATCCTTGATCTGATCTAATGAATCTTATGATCTTATTGGTCACTTCTGAAATTCAAAATTCTGCTTATTAAAGAAAGCATTCTTCCTGAACTATCTCAATTTGTCCACAGTTACTTCAACTAATGGTACACCAAGCATTAAGATATAGCTCTTAAGTATGGGAAGCTAGACCTAACCTTCCAGAGGCTAGACTTAATTTACACATACTTGTGAGGATATAGATGCATTTGATCACAAATCTCAGAAATTTCAGAAAAAAATAAAAACCTTACAGCTTCCAAATATTTTCCTACAGTTTCTGTTCTCACACAAAAAAAAGCAACCTACCAATTAACAGAAGTGTTGTGAGTACTTGCTGGAACTGTATGAATGCTGACATATGATAAATATCAGTAGAATAAAAGTGACCAGAGAAAAATGGAAAAGAAGAGCCCTTAGAGAATCATACTCAGAAAGTAAGTGAAAGCTTTGTAAACCACTAAATTAGATGAACCAAAACAAAGTCTGGAAAGAACAAAGACAAAGAGATAGAATAAAACAGGAGGAAAGGAGAGGGTAAGCAAGCCATCCAGCCACTGCCAACATCAGGATGCAGAAATGCATGCTGCATCAGTCCATCCAAAAGGGAAATTATAAGCTGATCTAAGTGATTCAAAGAAAGATGAGCTGGTAGCCCTCTGATATAAAAAGGAACTATTCCTACATCTCTCTTGCACAAGAGAGATGTTTAGCTCACTTTTTTTCTAGGCTATCTCCATACTACTTTAATCTAGTCCCAAATCCAATACTGCAGTCCTAAAATCATTGACTTGTCTGACACTTGTTGCTCTCTGTAGTTTTGCAATGCAGGAATAAAACCGGCATTACTGAGGCAAATTCCTTCTCCCCCCAAAATAACAAACTCCCTCATTTTTACTTTTAGCTTCTCCTACTTCCCAGAAAATTAAAAATTACTCCTTTTGCACTAAAAACAAAACAAACAATGGTTATTCTATAGTACATCTGAAATTTTAAAAAAAAAAACTAGTGGATGACACATTTTCCTGAGGAAGCAGTCTTGGAGCTCTAATGGTACCAATGGAATGATGTATCTGCCCAAAAAAAGAATTGTCTGTTGCTGCAAAATAATGATTGCTTTTATCTGCACATTTCATTTTGGAGAAATTATACATTTTCCAGTTTTAAATACTATTTTAATATTTTTCAAGTTCATGTGAATTACATGCATAACACCACTACAACTGTTTGTACCATTCTAACACTAGAGTTTGTAAATTGAGAGTAATGGTAGGTAAAACAACCTAGCCAACAAGTTGTCTAAAACAAGACTTCCATGGCAATAGTTTTTGGTGCTTTGTCTACTGTGCAACCTCAACTGATGCAATTTCTCTAATGGTTCGAAGCTTGGCATCCTTAAAAATAAAATATTATTTTTAGTCTATTCAAAGACAATAAAAAACTAACAAACTTTCACCATTAGATGGATTTTTATACACTATGGTTAGATATGCAATTTCACTGGCAATTCATTATCAATAGACACGTCTCTCCACAGTATTATCAAATTTACTACATTTTGAACTCTGATTGTAAAAATTAAGCCTTGAGAGTTTTTCGACTGTGTATCAGGAATCTAGTAAATTAAACAGTAATTTTCTTTTAATTCATTAAAAAATAGTCAAACAACCATGCAAGACAGTCTTTAAATAGGAAGAAAAATTAACACAGTATGATAGTCATAATCCTTTAGAATCTGAAACACCCCTCTTCACTTGTTTTCATTTGTTTATATTGTGTTTAGGGTAGCAGAGTGATAACAAAGTAAGATAGCTTCAAAAAAGATTAACACTCTGTGGAAGAGCGCATGAAGGGAAGATAGAACTATGGAACAATAAGTAGGCTGACTTGACTAGTACCTTAACCTCCTACAAAATGATGTCTTCAGCTCTCATAATAGGCGAATTACAAAAACTTTCTAAATCTTAGCAGTCTCTTTAAATGAGCGCTTTAGATACATGCAACGCTTTTTTCTCTTTTTATTGACAAATAAATATCTGTTTTTTCATTTGCTATTTCATTTCCCAACGATTTCAACTAGTAGATTTATCTTCTACGGTAAAGACAAGAGGAAAATTATCTAGATATTACATCTTAACAACACTTATTTCATATTGGCACATTTGTTGCCTTAATTTATATTTGAACCCTATTTGAAAACGCCATTAATTCCTCCTAAAATCAAATATGCACAGAAAAACCAAAAGCACAGCAAAAAAGGAGGATGAATGGAATATCAAATTCATCACATATGTGAACTTCAGACCTGCTCATGTCAGATTTTCATTGTGTACCCACTGAATAGTTTCTTTCTCTAAGCTGAAGGGCTCAGGATGAGGCAAAATCCCTTTGCTTCTCTTCAGCAAGAAAGTTTGTCAGCAACTTACTGAGTTACATTAATTCAGAGTATAAAATTAGAAGTTTAATTTTATTTTCCCTAAAAGCATATGCCAAAATCAAGATAATTTGCAATTTAATCAACAGTAGTACATACTTACTCTACTCTTTCCCATCAACAGAATGGGGACAGAATTAATTTTTCCTCATTCCCAAATAAACCTTCTAGCTATTCTATCATTCTCCTTTCTGTACGCTGTTATCAAATATCTCTAGCTTAGTTGGTTAGAGCATGTTGCTAATAACAACAAGGTCTGTAAGTTCAATCCCCGTAGAGTCCACGCGAGAGTTGGACTCTATGATCCTTGTGGGTCCCTTCCAACTCAGAGTAGTCTGTGAATGCTTTG